ATAAAAATATTGTGAATTGTTTAATTTATATCACATATTTCAATTACATCACATTTATAAGGGTTATAATTATTCAAAAGTTTTGATCCCTTGTGAAGAGGTATTTGATGGAGTGGGACCGATATTGCCCATATTTGCACCTGATCTAGCACTGATGCAAGTATTAGGATTTACCAAATCGAGCAACATCGAATTATTCTTTCTTTCTCTTTCTGTGGAGTAAAATATTTTTCCGAAATATTCCAACTTTTGTGTGGGAGGTACCGAAAGGAGTGGGCCCATACTGCCAATTTCCGAACTCGATTTAAATTTGATAATAATATTACGATATACCAAGTTCGGACCAAATCAGATACTCCCATCTAGAGTTATCGTGCCACATTGCGTGACATTGCTAGATCGACTCCAAATGTCCTGAAACGGATTTGGTCTAAAGATACCTAGGATCTAAAACCGTTATATCGATGAAGCACGTTTTGGCCGTATCAAATGATATATACAGGGTGAGACAAATAAATTGCAACAAAGTCAAACGCCATACTTTTTATATTTTTTTAAATTTTTTTTGAATGAAAGCAAAAAATTTCGGAGATAGCAACAAATTTTAGAATATGTTTAGATTTGTCCGAATTGGTCACCTTTGGCATGAATTATGGCCTGCAAACGGCCAATGAAACCGTCACACGCTGTCCGAATGTTGCTCCGCGGTATTTTGGCCCTTTCCCGGCGAAACAACTGCTTGAGGTGATAGACACTTTGGGTATTTTTTATTGCCAACCTTGCTTTCCAAAATACTCCAGACATAATAGTCCAACGGATTGGTATCCGGAGGTTTTGGTAGCCATTGTGCGCTCGAAATGAAGCGAGAACCTCATATGGTAACAATTCTTGGGCGGCGCGTGCTGAGTCCTGTGGGAATGTCCAAGGTCTGCTACCAAACTGTTTGCGTGCCCAAGGCTTTAATACACCCTTCAGAATATTCGGCATTTATTCTGAAGCCACGGCCGATTAATACGAGCGGAGAGCGATCACCATGGCCGGCGCTTGAGTTCTGGTGGCCAACCAAAGGTGCACATTTTCAGCTGATCTCTTTGGCTAGTACACACTATCATTTTGTTTGATTACAAACTGCTGGGCATCGAAGAAAACCAAATTCGTCAGTTCATCACTTTCGGCCAAGCGAAGCAACTCTTTAGCTCTTTTGAGTCTATTTCTTTCTGTTGCGGTGTAAGTTCTTGCTTTTTTTGCTTTGCCGAGCTCATTTTTCAATATTTGCCAAATGGAATATTGCTATATGTTGAGCTCACGAGCTATTTTTTGGCCACTGCCAGGCGGGTTTCCATCGAGTCGCTTCTTTACTTTCGAACCATTTCTGCTGATGTTGCTGTTTTCTTCCGTCCACTTCCTTGAAGTCGGGCTACGCTACCACAGTATCACGGTAACGAGCGATGGTGCGAGACACAAAATATTTATTGACATTTAAACGCTGGAGTGCTCTAACGATAGCCACTTGTGGTTTTCCAGCCAAATATAAAGAAATCACACTATCACGCTTGAATTCCGTAACGAATAATCTTTTTTTTCTGGAAAATTCACACCAAAATGCTTTTGTACGCTTGTAAACAATATAATGAGCTGTCACTGGAATAATTTTAAGAGCTGTTGGACGAGCGGCTTAGAAATGACAGCAGTCTGAAGTTGGTTGCAGTTTTTTCATCTCACCCTGTGTACCCCTCTCTAGCCATATGCTTAAGTGTATAAAAAGGGTGAAATAACCTGTCGAGAAAATAATTTTATGTACTCTGTATTAACTTTTTAGGTATTATGTCATTTAAATTTTATTGTTTTGTAATTTATTTTAAAACATCAATATTTGGGATAATTACCTCATAAAAAACTAGAAAATTTTTTGCGTAAATTTTGTTACATCATTTTTTTCTTTATTTCATTGCTAAGGTTTTTATTACGGAATTCTTTTTTAGTTTTTAAACTTTTTTGGTTGCTCAAAATTAGCCAATATCAGCCAGCAATGATATAATTTTCCGTTAAATATATATGTTTTTTAAGACAGCTGCAATTAAAATATCATTTTGTGTTTTTCTTTTTTCTTCCTCTAATATTTGCAATGCCCAGTGGTTCCGTTTATGTTGTTTGAGTGGGAGATGGTTGGGTATTTAAACGTTATTCACACTTCGGGCTTATAAACACATTAACACCACATTCAATTTAAAATTAAGAAATTCAAAATAAATATTAAAAAATTAAATGTTTTTTCTGCTGCGGGGTTTTACGTAGTTTTTTTATGAATACATACATATTTTGTTTAAAAATTGTGTTCCATTTGAAATGTACATCTATATATGTGTGTGTAAATACATATATTTTTTTAAGAAAAATAAGTGATGTATGCGGTGGCATTCTAGTCGAAATTGACCACAATACATAAGTGTTATGCTCATTTCGTATTATTTACAACATATTATGAATTGACCTTCTATAACCTCTTCAAGGTTAAGGTAGTTTTAGAAAACGCTTTATTCTCAATTGAATTATACACTGTGCAACAGGTTTAAACTTTTTCTATTTCTAAAAATTTATGAAAATTCCATTCTATTGTGGAAAATTGTCGGTATAGCAAAATCTCAAAGAGGGAGCATCTTTAAATCAAATTATTTATTTACGGTTCGAAATTTTTGGTATCGAAGTTTGACATTTGTCCAGATATTATATAACTTAGAGGGTCTTTAAAATTAAAAATTGGTTACATTGGTCACGTTTGATTGTAGCATAATAAATACACTGCATTATTGAGTAAAAAAATCATATTGTGCGGTATTGGTAGGTAAGGCACATTTTTGAAATAATTTCTTAAAAAGAATAAAATATGTCTGCCGTAGATATCCACAATAAAATGGAAGCTGTGCGAGACGAATTCCTCATTGAAAGGTAGTGTCCCTATTGCGAAGTAATGTGTGATTTCAGTAAAGTAATTGCGCTTTCAACTACGAACTGAAGGTTCAGAGTTCGAGACTCGACGTCAGCAAACGAAGAAAAACAAGATTGGGCAGGCCGAACTCCAAAAAAAAAATCGACTGGAGGCTTAAACCGTTATTATGATGAGGCACATTTGGCCTATCAAATCATATATACCTTCTGTAAGCATAAGCCTGAGTCTATAATGAAACTCTTAAAATATAATTCTTTAACAATGAAGTATCACATCTGTCGCCCATAACATTTGTATTCATTTGGTTTTAGCGTTTCATAAATAATATTTCGAAGTCAGCAACAATTCTAAATTGAAGAGCATATGAATTAAACAATGGTCCGTCCACTAAGTTTAATTTTGACATAACTTGTACAACATTTCTTACGGATAAATGCTTTAGTTTTTGACTTGTAATGCGTCTATATAGCCCAAAAATAATTGCACGTTAAATTGCGCGATTTAGACGGCTCGGCCCCGAACTTGAAATACAATGTTCACCGGTCACGGTCACGGTCCGATGATAACACCAGCCCTTAAACCGTACCAAAGTGTGACTTTTTCTGAATGCCTTGGGAGCATTTGCAATGCTTCTGACTGATCCTCACCACAAAATCGACAATTAAGCTTATTTACGTAGAAGAAGCGCTCGAAGAACTTCCTTAGCAGAGCATGCGATAAAAAAAAAACAACTAAAACAGCTGCTAAGTTCAGTCGGGACGAACTTTTAATACCCCACCATTTTAAAGGACCTTGAAAGATTTACCAAAAAATATCGTCGAAAAATGCTGCTCAAAGGAAAACCGCTATATGGGTGCTATACGCAGACGTGGTCCCACATATACAATTTTTGTTATAAGCAGTAGTAACCATTCCGAGCTTCAAATACGAAATTTGAAACAATTCCGGTGAATAATGTTCTTAAAATCATCAAAATACGGAATATTCGGAGGTATCCTTATATGGGAGTTATACGAAGATGTATGTATACCATCATACACAACTTTTTGCCATAGGCTGCAGTGAAGTTTATTTAGAAATCAAGTAAAAAATGTCGCTATATTCATCAAAATACCGAATATCGGCAGGTATTGTTATATGTGGGCTATACGAAGACGTGGACCTGCATAGGCAATTTTCCGTCATAGGTTGTAGGTTGTATAAGTACATTATGAGCTTCAAACTTCAAATACAAAATTTGAAAAAATTCCGGTCAAAAATGTCGCCAACATCATCAAAATACCGAATATCGGGGGTACCCTTGTATGGGGGCTATTAGGGGGCTTGTATGGAGCATACAATTGCCTTCCAGAGGGAAAACTCCTTTTGTAAAATTTCAGACAAATCCATTGTAAAATATGGCTCAAATCATCAAAATGCCGAATATCGGGGGTACCGTTATATGGGAACTATACGATATCGATATGCACCAAACACGATATATATGACCGATTTCAATAAAATTCAGAATATGTGGCGGAATTTGGTTAGAATAATAAATTTGACAAATTAATTGGAAATCGGTTAAGATTTGGATATATCTATGTATCGGAAATTGTCAAATTATATTGAAATCGAACCAGATTGAGATATGATTTTATAAAGAAGCATTAACCCGCATCGCCTTTGGACAAACCCTTTGCGTATGGGGACTTAATTTGGCATGTTGCTGCTTTTCTCATTCTCAACTGTTCCTGCCATGTTCACGCGTTGGTAGACCGAGCCATTTGTTTATTTTTATTTTTTTTTAACTAACAAATATTCTTATTTAAAATATTATGTTAATCTCTTTATTACCATTCGTTCTGAAAGCAAAGTGACTGTATGAGTCTATGTTTTCTTATAGCTCCCATATATCGCCAAATCCTGATATTCCAAATATTGATAATTTTAGACAAAGATTTTATGGGATTGGAAGTACTGAATATTTTCAAAAGCGTTGGGGACCGAATGAAACTTTTTCGTAATTACTCTTTAGAAACCACAAATATTCCAATTTTCCCTTTGGACTTACCACAACTCCATGCGTTGCGGCCACGGGTACCGATATCGCCAGAATAACACCCCATATGGTGCAAATGCAGATTTTCGTAATTTTCTCTGTGCGCAGCATACGCGATCGAATCGGATGTACGACTGAAAAATCGATCAATTGACATCAGGACCAGCGTGTAGATACTGGCAAATG